AATATAATTCATACAATATCAACAGTTGCCATATTTCTTAAGATGCTGATAAAAAAAACACTGAGCTATTATAATCAACAGTGAGCTAGTAGATATTGTTAGCAAGCGATATCAAAACCAAAACCTTTTTTACTGGAGAAAAAAAGCTGTGTGGCAGCCATGTGCACATACTTGGAGATAAAAAGTGTCACTGTGGTTGAGTGATTAGTAAGATTTAAATAAATGTGCAGAAGATAACTATAATCAAATCCACACATAAGGCCTGTTTGGTAAACTCAGCACTCTAGTTTAAGTCCTTTTTGAGATTTCCTTAATACAATGTTGTATATTAAACAATATAATCTTGAGCAAATTTGTGAGACTAGAAGACACTTCTCTTCCAATAAAGAAATCACATGTTCAGACAAAAACAGGTTTTTCTTTCAAAATTACATGGAAGAAATAGGAATCATTTTGCAATAATCACCAACCAAAACAAAGCCAACATTTTTTAACTCTGACACCAGGAGCTACATTCCTCTTGGGAAATGGGAAACACTACAGAAAACACAACTTCCCTTCCCTTTTCCTTTTCTGAGGTCAAAGCTATTTCAGCCATTCGGGCAAATAGGGCAGTTAAAACATTTAGCGGTGAACAGCAGGGGTTTTTCTGGACCAAATGCAAATATGTCCTCCATTAATTACAGAAAAAGCAAAACAACACTCATCCACCTCCTTTCATGTGAACAGTGATTCACAACTTTTAACTCTACAGCTTGAAAAACTAAAAATGCCAGCACCAATGCACAGAAAATTGGGAAATCAGAAAGGAAAGCCTTAGAATGGTTATTAAAAATGTGGAATAGTAGCAAGTCTTGTAAACAACATAGGGCTATCATAAGGCTTGGAGATAGGAACAAATCCTCGTCTGATGTAATTTGTCACAGATCCAATGGAGCTATGATGATTTAGACCAGCTGCATCTCTGCCTCATTTAAAGGCACCTTTCCTTAGATTTAAATGTTCTGAATTGAGACCAAGGAAAACATTCATATTTTAAATAAAAAATGAGTTTGAAGCAAACAGTGTTGCTGAAACACAGCTCACCTGACTGGATGAACTGTTTTACATAGCGGTGAAACTCTAAAGACCTATGCTGCCTACACTCTTT